TAAAATGAGTCATACGTCATACCGTCAATGTTATTGAAGATATTTGAAGTCAAAACACTTTCTCTATAGTTCATAACTGTCGGAATTAAATTCGTAAAATGAATGCATCGCAAATTAGATCAGTCACTCTACAGAAAAACACTTAACAAAGCTAGGAACGAAGCACCGGTGAAAGGACAGTAACCCAGCGTGGGTACCAGCGAACCTCCACACACAGATAACACCGACATTGATAAGACGATAATCCATGTAATAACGAATCGAGGTAATGGAATGGAGGCCCAGCGTTTCCGTCACAACTGTTCAACACAGCGGTGCAACTGAGAGTGAACTTGAAGCGTCAACCACCCACTGCCAGGCGTTCGTCGAGCCAAAACGCGCAGCCATCACTCGGTACACTCGCACGCCTAGCGACAGCGTGGACTTCTCTGTTGTGAAGCGTTTTGGCTGTTATTTCCTTTACCTGCAGCTTACCGTGAGGGATAACCATGCAGTATTGCGAGCGATGGTGAACGAAGGAAATCAATCCCTGGAAAATAATGGGTCGACGATGAAATGTCTAGAAAAAATAGGTTACTTGGTTGTTGTTGGGCTTCTTTCTCATACAAGTAAAATACACGCACCTCGTTCCCACGTGATGCAGTTTACTCAGAACCTCGTGAGGTGGCTTACCAGGCCTTCCTCTTATCAGCTGCTTCCATCTCCCTCTCTTCTCCATCTCACGTCATCCACCCTCTCTCTCTCTCTCTCTCTCTCTCTCTCTCTCTCTCTCTCTCTCTCTCTCTCTCTCTCTCTCTCTCTCTCTCTCTCTCTCTCTCTCTCTCTCTCTCTCTCTCTCTCTCAACTCTCCTCTCCTCTCCCCTCTCTCCCCTCCCACGCACTTTTAACACATCCCGAAAAGAAAGCAAATAAAAAAAAAGAGCTTAGTCATCCCGAAGTCATGTGATGGCTTGGTGTCTCTTGGTCACGAGTTTTGAGGGATGGAAATGTTCTAGAAGACTTGCAACGTCAAAATCTTGTGTATGAATAAAGAGGTTACCAAACACAAGTGCGGTACATTGATCGTCTTTTGTTTTTTGTGTTTATTTTACTTTCGTATGTTTGCTCTTTATATCCATTTTTTTTAAACTTTAGGCCACACCAATTTTCTTTGTTGCTTCTCGCTACGTTTTTTTTTTTTTTTTTTTTTTTTTTTGCAAATTGAAGAATAGGGCGGATCAGAAACCTCAACAGGTTTTTCTTTCGCAAACCTGTAAATATTGCCCCTATCAGAGACACATACCAGAAACCAACCAGAGAGCTTGTGTGTAGTCACATGCTTGTTTTAAACTCTTAATTTTAGTTGTAGAGTAGTTTATAGACCATGTGTACAGCAGAGCAGATCGATGTTTTCTTTGTAAAGGTGAAAGTTTTCGCACCTGAGAAGACAACAAAATGCCAATGAAGGAAACCAAGACAGTAAACTTTTGTTATGTTTTGTTTCGTTTTGTTTCTTGGGTCGGGGTTGTTTGTTTTTTAATGTTCCTGGCTTATTAAACTCTGGATTGAGTAATTTGTTTTGTTTCTTGGGGTCGGGGTTGTTTGTTTTTTAATGTTACTGGCTTATTAAACTCTGGATTGACACAAAAAAAGGTTCTGTAAGGCCTATATCCTAGCACCAGACTTTCTGCAATTACGTTTTTTTTCTCTCGTCCTGTCGCTCCATTTTTTTTCTTTCTGAAAAAAATCCGAGAAGCAACGAATAACATTGTCGTGGACTTTACCAACTTTGTCTTTGATATCATTTACCCAATTGTTTGTTTATAATCATTGTATCATTTATATCTTTCGTCACACTTGGCATGTTTATACGCTCTGCATCCACTCTTTGTTTACATTTGTATCCGACCTTTATTATCACTTCCTGTGCATGAACTTTTAATCTTTACGAGTGCGAAGGTGCTGTGTAGACATCACTTGTACAGGCCATTGATCCACACTGAAGGGTTGTTAAGTATCTTGGCAAAAAACGACTTTGAGTGCGACAGTAATTGCTGTGTTATTGATTTTGTGTTTTACTAGATAACGGTAATGATTACAGGTGTTGATTATGGCAATGATGATTTGGTCTCTGATGTTACTACTGCTCGTAATAATGATGATAACAAAGGAAATGGTGGTGATGATAATGATTTTGATTATTATACATTTGATTTTATTAAAATATAATTAGTAGGATTTTTTAAATAATTACTTATAATGATGATAAAGACATCAGTAATGATGTGTTAACCAGAACCAAAGCAGCAAGACAAGAGCAATGTAACGATGATATTGCAGTAAACGATTATGGAGATTGTGATAAAAAATGTCTCCAGCGAGCGAAAGAGAGAGAGAGAAGAGAGAGAGAGAGAGAGAGAGAGAGAGAGAGAGAGAGAGAGAGAGAGAGAGAGAGAGAGAGAGGAGAGAGAGAGAGAGAGAGAGAGAGAGAGAGAGAGAGAGAGAGAGAGAGAGAGAGAGAGAGAGAGAGAGAGAGAGAGAGAGAGAGAGAGAGAGAGAGAGAGAGAGAGAGAGAGAGAGAGAAGAGAGAGAGAGAGAGAGAGAAGGACAGACAGACAGAGAGAGAGAGACAAGAGCCAGAGATGTAGATACAAAAAAGAGAGATTCGTCAGCGAAGGAAATGCCAAAAGCGAATGTTTTTTTTATCTGGTTTTGTTATTTCTCGAATTTCAAAGGAATCCGAGGTGTTGGTATCACATAGCCAGGGCACAAGCCATACAAGAGGCGAAAGCAGCGTTGAAGATACTGCATGTTGTTTATGTTGTTTAAACTGCCATGTTGTTTTTGAAGTATTACTGTAGTTTGTGCAACGTGGTCCTTGATACAGGTTTACCATATTAATAAGTGAGAATCGAATGATATACTGATGATTATGATAAGAGTATATATATATATATATATATATATATATATATATATATATATATATAACATATATATATATAGATAGATAGACAGATAGGTAGATATATATATATGGTGTGTGTGTATATGTGTGTGTGTGTGTGTGTGTGTGTGTGTGTGTGTGTGTGTGTGTGTGTGTGTGTGTGTGCAGACAAATGAATGGAATTAAGAAAAGTAGGAAAGAGGAAAATAAAAACAATTTCTAAGAGATTTTAAAGCTTGTAATTCAGAAAATAAAACATATTTGAGACATTGTGACTACGAAACTTCCATTATTTGTTTAAGCTCATACATACATACACACGTGTGCTTGTTTATATATATATAATATATATACACATACATTCATATATAAACAAACGCATTCATACTTATACATATTTAAACTAGTGCGATCAAGATACACTTAAATAATATATCTATCTTAAAAAGACGTATATTGAACATATTGATGCAGATAAGCACAAGGATGTGTACATATGTACATGTGCGTGCGGTCTCGTGTGTACGTACGCGTGCGTGTACGTGTATAACCCTCCTAACGTCGATAACATCATGAGCTGTCATATACGTCAGTCATGTCGCCTCATATATTGACACTCACGGAAAGGGTCTTTATAGGAAGTGATCGTATGCAGCTGGCACGATTTCTGTGTAAATATTCGGTATGTTTTAAGGGTGACGAATGTACAGGAGGCAACCGTGTATTAGACTAGGTTGGCTGAATTTCTGACGAAGTGCAAATCTTTGTTTATTGTGCTATCGAATTGACTTATGGTTATATATTCTTTATTTTCTCCACTAATTGGACATAACCGCACATATCCACACACACACATACACACACACTCTCTTTCTCTATCTATCTCACATGAATATAAAAACAACACACACACACACACGGACACACACACACACACACACAACACACACACATACACACACACACACACACACACACACACACACACACACACACACACGGACACACACACACACACGGCACACACACACACACACACAACACACACGCACACACACACACACACACACACACGCACACACAACTTTAAACTCGTTCTAAATTACTCATATACAAAAGTAAGCTCACCCTATCAAGTTGCTTCACATTCCGAGAAAATGTAATTCTACTTAAATATAAACATTTGCAAAAAAAAAAAAAGAGAAAGAAAAAAATTCGTCCTGGTTACGTAATGTGTTTTTGTTCCGCTGAGACGCACTAGGTGGACTTCCCTGTTGGAACTGTTGCTCTTCCGTTGTTACCTGTTGGATTCTTTCCTACGGTAATTGTGCGAGTATCCATTCCGTTTTCTATGTGGTTTTTGTTGCGTTTTCTTTCTTTCCTTTTTTTTTAGGGGGGACTCATGTGTTTCTAGATATTTTGATGTTCTTTTCGTTATTTTTTTTCTGTGGGAGCATGGCGAGTCAGTGAGAGGGAGAGGTAGAGGGAGGGAATCAAATGTCGAAGGTGCGCGCGCGCACACACACACACACACACACACACACACACACACACACACACACACACATACACACACACACATACACACACACACACACACACACACACACACACACACACACACACGCACACACACACACACACCAGAACAAAAAAGAAAGACACCAACAAATCCCTCCTGTTATCTCCCTCCCTCCCTCCTCCCCCTCCTCACCCTCTCCCTCCCCCAATCCACCAACGACCCACACTCCTCCTCCCTTCCTCACTCACTCACGTTCCTCCCCTTCCTCCTTCACTCACTTCCTTCGGCAGAAGTTCACAACCCGACCAGGAGCCCTACCGTGAAGGCGCCCCACCGAACCAATGGTCGAGAAAGATGATGTCCATCGATGGGCGTGTTCATCGATGAAAAGCAAGGCCTTCAGTTCGCCCGCCATGTCCTTTGGCATCTCGGCGATCTCCTCGAACCACAGCATCGGCAGGTAGAACGTCGGGACCTCGCTCAGGATGCCCTGCGGGAAGGGAGGGGCTTGGGTTCCTTGGGCTTGGGTGTCTCTTGGGCTTGGAGGGGGGG